TATAATATCAGGAGTGGGTCGTGACCTGAAGGGTGGAGAACATGAACATTAGGTGGAGGATGTCTGCTGCAACCTGTTATTGACTCTGACCTTTGACCTCTTGTGCAGCAGCAGATTAGACTCAGACCGAATGAAAGTGATAAATTGATCGACCCTCAGACAGTCTGACTGATCACAGTATATTTACTGATTTATTGATGGTCTGTGATCCCTCAGAGGTGTTAGTTGTTATTGCTGATCAGCTTTCAACTCCATGTGAGAATCAGTGCTCTTGCAGCTGTGTGCGTGTGTGTGTTACTGACGGTGTTGTCTCTTACTGGTCCCAGTACGTCCAGAACGACTCCCCCTCCAGTAAGTCTCTGGCGGGTCTGGTGGTCCAGCTGCTGCAGTTCCAGGAGGACGCGTTTGGACGTAGAGTCAATAATCCAGCTCTGACCAAACTTCCTGTGAGCACATGATTTTAGGTTTCTATAGAAACCACAGATGTTTGTGTTCTGTGGCTTTAATAAATAAATATTAACATTATTAAATATTATTGTGTCTTTATAATAAAGGTTATGTCATCACTTTCTTGTGTTCTCAGGCAAAGTGTTTCCTGGACTTTAAAGCGGGTGGAGCTCTTTGTCACATCCTAGGGTCAGTCTATAAGTTTAAGAGCGAGCAGGGCTGGTGAGTTGACCTTTAGCCCTCAGTGGTCCTGAGATGTAAACATGAAATGTACTATCTGAGCTGCTGCAGCCTCATCTCACTGTATGTCTTATTATTGTTTATACAACACGCAGGCGAAGATTTGACCTGCAGAATCCATCCCGCATGGACAGGAACGTGGAAATGTTCTTGAACGTGGAGAAGAACTTGGTCCAGGTACGACTCAGACTGCCTCAGTTCACATGTGTTGATTAGTGAAATAAACTTTATTGTGCACATGCTCAAAGACAAACACAAAGTTTTTAAAACTACAGCTTTAGTTTATTAGACAGAAACTCACTGTTTTATCTTACGAACATAAATTTGTACTTGATTTAACCTTTATGTTTTAATGTTCCTGATGTTTTCAGCTATAACTGAGCTGACTCACACATGAAACACACATGATTACACACTGATAATGAAACACTGTCTGTGGTTCTAACGTCATGTTTTTCTGTAACTTGTAGAATAACTGTCTGACTCGACCCACTGTGTTTCTGTCGCCGGACATGGAGCAGAAACAATCCAGTAAGCTCAAAGACATCATCAAGAGGCACCAGGTGAGTCCTGACTCTGTCCAATAAAAGGTTCTGTCTCATAGCACCTGTCTCTGTCTTACTGTTGTTGTCCTCTCTGTCTCGTCCAGGGCTCCATCACTGATGACAAGTCCAAAGCCACCCACCACATTTATCCGTCTCCACCCCAACAGGAAGAAGGTTCTGTCTCTAAACCCAAACTTTGATTCATTTAAGAAACACAAACTATAAATCCAGTGAGAAGAAAGAAGGAAGTGACATCAGATGTGATGATACACGTGATGTCAGATTTAGATCTCATCTAATCATATTTGGTTTTTGTGTTTGTGCTGCAGACGAGTGGCTTCGTCCAGTCATGAGGAAAGACAAACAGGTGTTGGTGCACTGGGGTTTGTCTCCAGACAGGTAAGCTCATAAACCTGATCTATGACCAACCAGCTCTGGACATCTGGTCACATTTATAACATCCTACATGGAAGACATTTTAAAATGATTACAACTAGAACAACTACAAGGAGGAAAAGGGGGAGGCCAGACAGTGTCGTATACAATTAAAAAAAAATTATTTCAGTCTCAGTTTGATTTCAGCAGTGAAAACATTACATCAAATCTAACATTTTGTTCCATATCAAAAAGATTTTTTTTTTTAATCATCCAGATTTTTACAGTCCTGTTTTTTCTTGTTTAAAAACTTTTATATGAACCTGTTTAATAAATTTTTATTCGTATTTTAGTAATAACCTGATATGATAATTATTTTCATACCTAATAAAATGTTTAAATTGTTGTTCTGACCCACTTTTGTTTTTGTTTTGTCAGCTATGATACCTGGGTGTCAGCCAGTGAGGTGGACGGTGATGTGGAGGAGCCACCAAGCACTGACAGACCATGGAAGGTGAGCGACATCTTTAACCTCTAACATACTTTGGTTTTCTTAAAGAAAAAATGTTTGGAGTGAATAAGCTGTCAGTTTGATTGATTTGGTATGAATTATGATCTTTTAACCACGCTGCCTGCGGCTGCTGCTGATGCTTCTGTAATATAAGGACTTATTCAATATGTTAAGGTTAACGCTGCGTCTGTAAAATAAGGACTTGTTCAACATGTTAAGGTTCACGCTGCGCCTGTAAAATAAGGACTTATTAAACACGTTAACATTAACACTGCGTCTGTAAAATAAGGACTTATTAAACACGTTAACATTAACACTGCGTTTGTAAAATAAGGACTTATTCTACACATTAAGGTCAATGCTGCGTCTGTAATATAAGGACTTATTCAACACGTTAAGAAAAATGCTGCGCCTGTAAAATAAGGATTTATTCAACATCTTAAGGTCAGCGCTGCATCTGTAATATAAGGACTTATTCAACACGTTAAGAAAAATGCTGCGCCTGTAAAATAAGGATTTATTCAACATGTTAAGGTTAACACTGCGTCTGTAAAATAAGGACTTATTCAACATGTTAAGGTTAACACTGTGTCTGTAAAATAAGGACTTATTCAAGCCATTAAGGTTAACGCTGCGCCTGTAAAATAAGGACTTATTCAACACGTTAAGGTTAACGCTGCGTCTGTAAAATAAGGACTTATTCAAGCTGTTAAGAAAAACGCTGCGCCTGTAAAATAAGGATTTATTCAACATGTTAAGCTTAACACTGCGTCTGTAAAATAAGGACTTATTCAACATGTTAAGGTTAACACTGCGTCTGTAAAATAAAGACTTATTCAACACGTTAAGGTCAACACTGCGTCTGTAATACAAGGACTTCTTCAACACGTTAAGATCAACACTGCATCTGTAAAATAAGGACTTATTCAACATGTTATGGTCAACACTGCACCTGTAAAATAAGGACTTATTCAACATGTTAAGGTTAACACTGCGTCTGTAAAATAAGGACATTTTGTAGAGATTGAAATCGTTTTGTATTTCTAACTCTGACGGCTGCTGTGAGATCTAAACCTCATCCCTGTCAGTGTTAAACGATCAGAAGAGATTGGGGCGGCGGTGTGAAGGGAGGATTCAAAGATTAATAAATCATCTCCCACTCAGGTTCACGCCAGGTGGGTTTTAGACACTGATGCTTTCAATGAGTGGATGAACGAAGAAGACTACGAGGTGGACGAGAACAAGAAGCCCGTCAGCGTCCGACAGAGGATTTTTCCCAAAGAAGAGGAGGTAGATATTTGTTTCCTGATGTTAGTTTGAATGTAGCACAGAAGACACAGACATGAACAGACTGCTCACACACTCTTCATCAGATACATGAATAGACTGCTCACACTTCATCGATACATCAACATCAAACTGAGTGCTGGTTTGTGTAGACGTGTGTGTATGTGTGTGTGTGTGTGTGTGTGTGTGTGTGTTTTCTCTGTAATTGTGTGTGTTGTTGCATATGTCTGTGGATGGCGTGTCATCCTCCTCTGTCTGGCCCATCCTTTCCAACCTTTTCTCACTCTTTGTCTCCTTCGGATGTTTCTCAGGGTTTCTGTCCAATTTTGGAAAATTATTAATTTCCAGGATTTAAAATCAAACTAGAGCTGGTGAATACAGAGGGATTAGTAACTACACATGAATGTCATATGGAAGACTTTAGAGATGAAAATACTCTGTTTAGGTCACTGACTCCTCGTGACGACCCTCACAGTTTCTGCTAACATGAAGTCGACTGGCCAATCACGTTTCCACATAATCTCAACCAATCAAAAGCTGCTTTGATTCAGAGGAAACAGCAGTGATCGAAACAAAGTACATGCTAGGTGAGGATCAGTCAGCTAAAGATAACATACGACAGATTAATCTTTCACCATAACAAACCAAGGGCTGCAGGGATGAGTTAACATGTTAGCACTTACTGTCGCCCCCCCCCCCCCCCCCCCCCCCCC